CAAGATTCTCATCCAATATTAAATGAGGATGTTGTTGACCCAATTGTAGTTGTGTCTGGTCAAGGGGCTAGTGTTCCCTCTAGTGATATAGACTCCTCGGAGTCTGGTGTTAAATTGTATGACGAGCACTTCAGTCAGTTGGATGAAGTTGCTAGTGTCACCTCGTCGGTTGTTCAGGGTATTTTGAGCAATGGTGATATCCTAAGTAGTACAAATAATGAAATAATTAATGATACAAGTAGTGAAATAATTAACAATACAAGTAGTGATATAATTAACGATAAGGCCAGCGCTGGCAATGGGGAAGTTATCTTAGTTAATGAAATTGCAAATGAACCTAATGCAAATAGTGAAAATAGTACCTTACCTAATGTAGATGAGCCTCAGGACTGGGGTTCCATTGTTGACTCTCAGGATGTGAATATGTCACCGGCCTCTGGCCAACGCAAAAGGCCCTCTACCTCCTCGACTCCTAGGCGCCGTCCAGCTAAGAGGACCCCGGGCACTCCTCAATTGCCTGTGGGCCCTTCGGCTGCTACTAGGGTTAATGCAAGTCGTGCGGCTAAGAAAAAGTCATGATGTTTCTTTCATGCTTTGTGATGGCTCTTTCCATCCTTACGTTAAATTGTAATGGTATCCGGGACCAGTCTAAAAGGATTGGTCTCGTGCAGTGGTTGCGATCTCTCCCTGTGAAGGTTGACGTTGTCTGCCTTCAAGAAACGCACTGTGTTACTCGGGCTGAATGTTCTTTGTGGTTTTCTTTGTCTGGTTTCTCTTCTGTGTTAGCTCCGGGTTCTGTCCATTCCTGTGGTTGCGTCGTGCTCTATCGTCCTTGTATCTCTCTTCTTAATTCTTGGTCTGCTGATGGTCGCTATTTGCAATGTGAATTCTCTTTTCATGAAAAAGTCTTTAGGGTGGTTTGTCTCTATGCCCCCAATCGCAACCCTGCACGGGATCAATTCTTTGATGGCCTGCATTCAAAGATTGACCCTTCAATACCAATGGTCCTTGCTGGCGATTTTAACTCCGTGTTTGACCGGGCTCGAGACCGACGTGGTCCAGTTCCTGCCTCTGTATCTAGTGATAATTCCTCCTCGCTTTGCCATCTTTTTGATGCGTGCTGCGTCACAGACATCTTGCGTTACCCCCACCCCTCTTCTCCAGGGTTCACCTGGACCAGGTGGGACAGGAGTTTGGTGTCGCGTATTGACATGTTTGGGATTCCTTTTGCATGGGTCCCATCGGTGTCCTCTGTTTCTGTGTAGGTCTGTCCATTCTCGGATCATCGTGGCTTGCATTTGTCTGTGTCTGTTCCTGACGTCGTCCCACCTGGCCCTGGCTTCTGGAAGCTCAACACCTCAATTCTGGAAGATCAGGATTATTGTCAACTTGTTCGGGAGGAATGGTCCGCCTGGCGTCTTGCTGTCCCTCGCTTTCCCTCTCTCGCTAAATGGTGGGATAGGGGGAAAAGCCGGATTAAAGGGCTCACCATCCGTTTTTGTGCCAGTAAGGCCCGTAAGACATCTGCATGTAGAGACGCTTTGGTGTGCCTTGTTCAACATCTCCAGGAGAAAGTCAATTCGGGGGTTACTTCTTGTGTGGATCCCTGCGGTCGGCTCTTTCTGAGCTTGCTTGCCTAGATTCTCATGTGGCGAAGGGGGCCCAGGTTTGGGCTGAGTCAAATGGGTTGAGAAAGGTGAGACTTCCTTGCGTTATTTTTTTCGTTTAGAGAAAAAACGTTCTGCCGACCTTCGCATCTCTGCGCTGAGAGAGCCTGATGGCTCAATTGTTTCTTCTTCTGCTGCTCTCTGTGCTTCTCTTGGCTCTTTCTATTCTGGTCTATATACTGCTTCGCCTACAGACTCTCATGTCCAATCTTCCTTTCTCGGTAATCTGTCCTCGTTTCGTCCTCAGGATCAGTCCAATAGTTGCGAGGGCCTACTCAAACCATCTGAGGTCCTTGACGCTCTCAAGGGTATGGCACGCAACAAGACGCCAGGTCTAGATGGGCTCCCTATGGAGTTCTATCTCCACTTCTGGGATGTGGTTGGTGCTGATCTTGTGGCTGTCCTCAATGAGTGTTTTTCTTCTGGCTCTCTTTCTCTCTCTCAGCGCAGAGGTGTCATTACTCTGTTATTCAAGAAGGGGGATCGTCTCAATCCCAAGAACTGGCGCCCCATATCTCTCCTAAATGTGGGCTATAAGTTAGCGTCGTGGGCCATGGCCGGGCGTCTTCTCCGCGTGATACACCTTGTCGTCAACCGCAATCAGACGTGTGGGGTCCCTGGCCGCTTCATTGGTGAGAATGTCGCGTTACTGAGATGTTGTCAGCTATGCCGAGTCCTCTGGCACTCCTGTCGCAATCCTATCTCTTGACCAAGAAAAGGCCTTCGACCGGGTGGATTGGGGTTTTATGCAGTCCACTCTGGGGTCCATGGGTTTTGGTCTGTCCTTTGTCGTGTGGATTGACCTATTTTATACTCGTGTGCAAAGTGCTGTAAATGTTAATGGTACTTGACTCCCTTCTTTAGTCTTTCTCGTGGTGTCTGGCAGGGGTGTCCATTATCTCCGCTCTTGTATGTTCTTCTTTCGGAGGTCCTTGCTTGTACCATTCGTGCAGACCCCCGTATTAAGGGTCTGTCTCCCATCTCTCAGTACGCGGATGACACATCTCTAATACTTACCTCGGATGAAGGCATCTCGGCTGCTCTTGACATATATAGGTGTTATGAACTAGCTTCTGGATCGAGGATTAACCTCTCCAAGTCTAAGGGTCTCTGGTTTTTGATGGCGGGGTCACACGGACCCCCCAGTTCCTTTTGATCAGTCTCCTGTCAAGCTCAAGGTACTGGGAGTTTTCATTGGCCCCGGTAACCTTGAGGAAGACAATTGGCGCTCTCGCATCAATGCGGTGGACCATGTTCTCAAGTCTTGGCATGCTCGTGTTCTGTCTTTTCGTGGCAAGGCCCTCGTTATTAACGCTCTTGCCCTCTCCCGGGTTTGGTATGTGGCCTCTCTTATCCACATGCCGGCCTGGGTGGAGGTGGCGCTCTCTCGTCTGGTTTTTTCTTTCTTTTGGTCTGGCAAGCGGGAGCTCGTCTCTCGTTCTGCCGTTGTTCAATCCCCCCTTTTTGGGGGTTTCTCTGTGGTGGACGTTCAGTCTAAGGTGAGGGCCCTCCTGGGCCAATGGGTGAGGAGATTTGTCTCTTCTCCTTCCAGTTGGGTCACTCTCATGTCTTTTTGGTTTAATTCCTTGTTTGGTGTCTCTCCTTTTGTTGTGTTTTCTCGTCCTTTTAGTTTTGACCCTAGGGTCTTGCCACCCTTCTATCAAGCTCTGGTACTGGCGTGGCGTAAGCTCGACGGGGCTTTCGCTACGTCCAAAAACTCTCTGGTTTATGGTTCTTCGTGTCCTCTTGTCTGTTCTCCTGTCTTAACCATGTCTGCTAAGTCTTGTTACCTGTACCTTCTCTCTGAGAACATGGTCCANGATATAACAAATATATATATATATATATGTATAACATATATATATATAGATATATATGGCTATACCTAGAAGGCTGAAACAGTATTGTCTGCAGTTACCGTCTGTCTGAATATATATCAATCTCTCCATTAATTACCTACCTACCTTCCTGCCTCCCTGTCATCTCTATCTATCATTCTGTTTATCTATATATCTAACTGTATGCGTTATTCGTTTAAATGGTATTATATAATGATATGTATCTAGTTTTGTGTAACATTTTATTTCATGATGATTGGTTGGAAATCATGTTGCAGAAAACGCTTCTGAATCAGAGCGAAAGGATTTGCTGTCTGAACTGGAATTAATGAAACAACTTAAACCTCATCCTTACGTCATCAAACTTTTGGGATGCGTTACCAAGTCTGGTAAATACTTAAACATTTATTATCAGTTATGATCATGGTCAGTTATTTTCCCTGTTAATTATAGAGTACTGAACGTTTTACTCGTTAGAGCCTTCATCAGGTGAAAGCGGACCACGAACAGTCCTTTGTCTTCAGCGATGTGAGAGCGCCGCACAGACCTCTGGGATAGAGGCGCACTTTGAAACCTGGTGGTTGTCATCACCCAAACTTCGCCTTTTTATTTTTCCATTCCTGTTGACTTTTTGAAAAAATCCACCAACCAACGCACAAAGCTTGGCCATATTCTGTTATTGTGTGCGCGTCAGAGGTCTAGATCTGACAGTAGAGAAGTAGCCACAGTTCTAACCTGTCACTGCTAACTAGTGACGTGTGTATAGCAAATAGCTGATATCTAAGATCAGCAAAATTCAGTGATGGATCAAAAATGGGCTGAAACTGAACTAAAACTGCATGCTTAAGGTTTGCACAAATATTGCAGATATGAGCCGGTCAGATGTAAATACTATTTGAAGGAGGATAGGTTTCCGGTAGGTCACTTCCCTTTAACGAAAGTTCCATACCATGTTACACCTTCGTAATTATTTTCCAAGTTTAGAAACTCGTGGCCGCTTTTCTTTTAAAATGGATTGATAAGGATTGTGATTTTTACCGAGGTGTACGGTTCAATTAACGTCGTACTCCTCCACTTTCAAGTAGTTGCGGCGTATATTGGAGAGCGACGTTTATTGGTATTTTCGCTTCCCTCTGCGATTTGTAATCGAGCTTTTGCGGTACCTTGTGTGTCTCCTTAGTGCCACTGTTGGTGTTGATCGAATATGTTCCCCATGGAGATCTGCTGGGTTACCTGAGGAAGAGCCGTGGATTAAATGACACTTACTTCAAAGACCCGAATATCAAACCGCAAACAAATCTCACGTCACAGCAGCTGATGAGGTTTGCTTGGCAAATCGCTGATGGAATGACCTATTTGTCATCGATAGCAGTGAGTAGTACGATCATCCTCTGAGAGCTTATCAACCTCGTTAAAGAATAAGGCACCAGTTAGTACGAATACTCTTCCATATTGATTCCCTCCTTGACCCTCTTGTCCTTTGATTCGTAAGAGATCGTTTTAAATGAATATACATCCCTTTTTATTGACTCCTCGACCCTCAAGATCGTTTGTCATAAGGAACGTTTTCTTTTTTGTCAAGGTCATACATCGAGACCTTGCAGCTCGTAATGTGTTGGTTGGAGAAGAGGAAACCTGCAAATTAACAGACTTTGGTATGGCCAGAGATGTGCAAGAGAACGACATTTATGAAAGAAAATCCAGGGTACGAATAGTTTTAAGACTCGAAGTTCTTGTAAGCTTTGGTCCATATGACAGAGATGATGCCTCACAGGAGTGATCCCTTAAGGCAACAGGCTCAGTAAATCCTGTTCAGATTTCAAGAAAATTTGTTACATTGATCTCGCCATTTTAAGCATTGGTGCTTTTAAAGAACTGCGCCAGCTCCTTATATTTTTGCTTTCCATTCAGGGGCGTCTCCCCGTAAAGTGGACTGCCATTGAGGCACTACTCTACGGAAAATACTCCACAAAGAGTGATGTGTAAGTATAAAGATGTGAAGTCACCATGGTTTTACTCATTTTCCCATTGTATTATGAATACTAGCCAGAACTCCTATGACATGTTTCCTTTGTCGCTCTCAACCCCCTTCTCCCACCCCCACCCCACCCTCTTCCCCATGCCGAAGATTTTTCAATTACTTTTTTTGCAGGAGAGAAAGTTGATATCGTTGAATTTATCCCTGTTGTTTTACAGGTGGAGCTATGGAGTTCTCCTCTATGAGATTTTTACGATTGGTAAGTTACTTTACCTTGTGACACGAAGTCATTAAGTAAGAAGCTTGTAGCTTTCTTAATAGAATTCGGTTTTGGTCATCCCAAAGCAGTTTAGACTGCGACAGTCGCTGGACTTAGCCGGAAAGAGTAATCTTAATGGTATAAGAGTGATAGTGTTATGTGAAAATTTACCGTATAATTTCCTTGAATAAGTGCCTACGCTCTCTTGGGCGCCCTTCCCCGATTAAGCGCTCTCCCTATCGGCCAGAATTTCAAACAAGCGCCCCCATCGAATAACGCCCTCGTCCACCCTTCCACTTCACCATCTTTGAATTGTAGGGATACAGGGTAAACTGTATTCTATTACCACTTCTTTTATGTAATATTTTTTTAAGGTTCACTTACAGCTGAAACAATATAGAAGACTTAACCGCCCCCGTCAATTTTGAAAGTGCTTTCTTTCAAATAAGCCTCCCCCCCTCCCCTTTTTAGCCGAAATTCTAAATAAGTGCTTGAGCACTTATTCCAGGAAACGCGGTTAATACATGTATAGAGCCTTTCATTAAAGAGGAAGGTAACTGTAGCTGTTCTCTTTCAGGTGGTTCACCCTATCCACGGATGGACGGAAGAAAAATTGCGAACTCACTTCAGGAGGGATACAGGATGCCTAAACCACAACACGTGGATGATAAGTTGTAAGATAATATCCTTTTGTTGATGTTTTTATGGCTTTTCCCGTACAACGGTATTTGACCTGCTTTTTTCAAGTTCTATATGAAGTGCATGCTCGGCTCACAATTACATTTTATACGTGGATACGCGAAGCGTGGACGACCATTATTAGAGGTCAGAATATGCAAATTTGTTATTTACTCAGATGTAAACAAATCGATATGTCAACGGTAAACCAATTTACATCGATTTTCCGCCTCTATCGCAACGTTGAAATATAATTGGACATTTCTTTAAGATAGTTTCGATTTCGATTTCGTCGCAGTTAGCACATATATAACCGAGTCAAAGCTTTTTGAAAGACTGGNCCTGATTTTTTTCAGGTCTGATTTTCGCTATTGCATAAATAGCGCTATCTACTGCGAAGGATCGTGCATCATACGTATTTAATACCGCAGTTCAAAATATATGAACTTCATATATTCATTGTATCTGATTTATCATCACGGGTTTATTACGAATCAACTTAACGGCCTGCTCCCAGTTGGCTTGTTAGCTCAATTGGTAGAGCGCTGCACTAGTATCGCAGAGGTCAGTGGTTCGAATCCCGTACAGGCCTGATTTTTTTCAGGTCTGATTTTCGCTATTGCATAAATAGCGCTATCTACTGCGAAGGATCGTGCATCATACGTATTTAATACCGCAGTTCAAAATATATGAACTTCATATATTCATTGTATCTGATTTATCATCACGGGTTTATTACGAATCAACTTAACGGCCTGCTCCCAGTTGGCTTGTTAGCTCAATTGGTAGAGCGCTGCACTAGTATCGCAGAGGTCAGTGGTTCGAATCCCGTACAGGCCTGATTTTTTTCAGGTCTGATTTTCGCTATTGCATAAATAGCGCTATCTACTGCGAAGGATCGTGCATCATACGTATTTAATACCGCAGTTCAAAATATATGAACTTCATATATTCATTGTATCTGATTTATCATCACGGGTTTATTACGAATCAACTTAACGGCCTGCTCCCAGTTGGCTTGTTAGCTCAATTGGTAGAGCGCTGCACTAGTATCGCAGAGGTCAGTGGTTCGAATCCCGTACAGGCCTGATTTTTTTCAGGTCTGATTTTAGCTATTGCATAAATAGCGCTATCTACTGCGAAGGATCGTGCATCATACGTATTTAATACCGCAGTTCAAAATATATGAACTTCATATATTCATTGTACATGTATATTTGTAGTGAACCAAAAAAATAACAACAAACCTCAGCAAAACAAAACGAAGCAAATAAACAAGCTGTTTAACAGCGAAGCGAGGCAAAGTGCAGTTTTCTTATATATTCGTTTTTCTGTTTAGATATACAGTTAAACCTGTCTTAAGCGGCACCGTATTTAGCGGTCACCCTGTTTTAAGGTTACATCCCTCCTTCAGAGGCCGAATAATTCGTTTTTTCTTTTCTTGGTCGAGATTGAAGTTAGACATTTTACCTAAGGTTTGAAAAAAAAGCATTTAAATCTCGGAAAGTATCCGACTTATTTAGGAAAACGTATCTTCAAATAAAAGTTAATAAATCAGAAGAGTGTCATAATCTCGTAAATGGGCGAATCCCCTGGGGGAATTTCATGTATTTTCATGTTTTCTTTGCATCGCGCACTTGACAAACTTCACACGTGAAAGTTCACTGCAAGTGGAAAGTCTTTTTTCATGGATAAAAAAATAGAAATCAAAATGAGAGAGGAGTCGTTAGGCAAAAAAAATATTAATGGCGGTTGTTTCAAAACTTTAAATTTACTTCATGCTAGTAGCTGCGAAATGTTTACATTTTGTGATGGCTTAGATGAAACAGAAAAAACGCAAACAAACTCGAGAGTGCGCGTTACCGACCGGAAATCATCTTTAATATCTTCTGACTCTAAACCTCCCAGGGATTCTGAACAACTTCTTAGAAGAGGATGTCAATCCTGGAGTTGACTTAATTCAGCCAGTTCAATACAGCAAATATGTAACAGTTAGAGAGGGACAGTCCTTGTTCGCGAGTGAATGTGGTCAATCTCAACACAAGTCCTCAATAAAACCAAGAAGTTCAATGTAGAGATGTTCCACCCAACTTAAATCGCTCAGTATCTGAAGATTGTTTTCTCTGAGAAAAGTTGTCTTGTCCCTCACAGCAAACATCCTTTGTAAACACTAGGTCTTCAGTGGATGTCTTATGAAGGTAGGATATAGTGGTTGTCGCCTGGAGCAAAAAGTATATGGTGTCTGAACGTCCATGGGAAGATGTTTGATTGGAAGAAGGCGAATTTTGTGAAGATTCCAGTGTTTTGCTACACGTTTCAACTCTTCTCGAGGTAGAGGTAGAAAACAGAATCTTAAACATTCCACATGCACAGGATCGGTGCCATCGTGGAGCCCTTGATCCATTAGGTCTTTAAAGTAGTTAATCCACCAATCAGTTTCGGTCTTAGGAAGAAATGCCGACCATCCTTTGATTTTTTTGGTTTGCAACAGAACGGCCGCCTAAGAATCTCTTTCCCCCCTCTCCAAATTCGTCTCGAGCATGACACCCAAGGAACCTCCGCATCGCAGTAACATTATCATTCTAAGTACCCGCATCGGCACGACATATGTAAGGGGCCCCTCCCAGTAGTTTGACACAGTCATGCTAGAAGGTAGCGATTATATGAGGATCATTGTTTTAGGAACTTGCCTCAATTCAAGTCACAGGATACGGCGGCTGTAACCATCTATCGCTCCACGCATGCAAAACCCAAATGGCTTGAGCTTATCGTAGCCATTTATGTGCCATTTCTAATTTGGACCTTTTGATAGGTGTTGTCTTCTTCGAAACTTATGACGAGCGCGTTCACGAACTCCGTTACGATCAAGTGCAACAAGGATTCGACGAGTCGTTTCTGTGACGATGGGTTTTCGCCTGCTAAACTAGGAAACTGAATCTTCGCCTACGGCACAACAATAACTTGGGGAAATAACTCGGTAGAGACCACTCGGCAGCGAGAACGGAAACTCGTCACGAATTCCTGGCACACGGAGATCTACTTCGAGCGAGCTTGTACGGAAGTCAAGGATGAGACGGCACTTGGTTCCACAGTAAACTTTCTAAGTCAGGCCAGTAAGCGACATGACCTCTAGCCTCTTCAGTTTAGTAGTCAAGGATGTAATCATCAAAGCTTGCTTAAGTACTTTCGAGCGCGTGGCTCTATTGTTTTCTAAACTGACAATATTTAAATCAGAATTACAAAGGAACGGAAAACTTCTCTTTGAAGCAAAATGATTTACATTGAAATATTTATATTTTGAAAATGAATGAGCAAGTTCGATAAACTTTAGGCCAGAGCCCTCGTATAGAAAGCATACTCATGGAAATTACAATGAGGCAGCTCACAAACAAAATGAAAAATACAATTAAAAGTTTCTGCTTATCTAAGCAAGGTTGGTGTTAAGCTTGATCGTAAAACAAGGAAATTGAACTTCCGAGTATAAACTCAGCTGCCCACTACCCTGAGAACTAATTTTTCCAGTAAGACCCCCATCCTGGCAGCC